CACGCCCAGCTAATTTTTTGTTTTTAGTAGAGACGGGATTTCACCATGTTAGCCAGGATGGTCTCGATCTCCTGACCTTGTGATCCGCCCGCCTCAGCCTCCCAAAGTGCTGGGATTACAGGCGTGAGCCACTGTGCCAGCCCCTCGGTCTCATTTATTCAGTAAATATTTATTACCTACTATGTGCCTGGCACTGTTCTAGTTGTTGGAAATACAAACTGAAATCTCTGGCTTCTTGGGACTTAGATTTCAGTTGTGGGTGACAGACAATAGAAAATAAAAACTTATAGTATGTTAATGGTGATGAAGACTATGGAGAAAAATAGGGAAGGGAGATAGCAATGTATAGGTTGGTGGTTGGGAGGTTGCCATTTTAAATTTGATGGTTTAAAGGCCAAGTTGGGCCTTCTTGAGAAGATGGCATTTGAGTAAATGGCCAAGAAGGCCAAGTTGGGCCTTCTTGAGAAGATGGCATTTGAGTAAAGACCTGAAGGAGGTAAGGAAGTGAGCCACCTGGGTATCTGTCAGAGGAGCTTTCTAGAGAGGGGAAACAAGTGCAAAAGCCCTGAAGCAGAAATTGGAACCCTCATGTATTGCTGGTGGCAATGTAAAATGGTCCAGCCACTATGAAGAACAGTTTGACAGTTCCTCAAAAAGGTTAAGTGTAGAATTACCATGTGACCCAGCAATTTCACTCCTATATACTCAGTCGAAAGCAGAGACTCAAATACTTGGACATGCATGTTCATAGCAGCACTATTCACAATAGCCGAAAGATAGAAATTGTCTAAATGTCACCCACAGATAAAGGGATAAAATACGGTGTGTTGCCAGGCACGGTAGCTCATGCCTGTAATCCCAGCACTTTGGGAGGCCGAGGGAGGCGGATCACCTGAGGTCAGGAGTTTGAGACCAGCCTGGGCAACATGGCAAAACCCCGTCACTACTAAAAATACAAAAATTAGCTGGGTGTGGTGGTGGGCGCCTGAAGTGCTGGGAAGGCTGGGAAGTACTGAAGTACTGGGAAGGCTGAGACACAAGAATCACTTGAACCCAGGAGGCAGAGGTTGCAGCGAGCTGAGAGCACACCACTGCACTCTAGCCTGGGTGACAAAGCAAGACTCTGTCTCAAAAAAAAAAAAGTATGGTGTGTCCATACAATGGAATATTTTTCAGCCACAAAAAAGAACGAAGTACTGATACTTGCTACAATGTGTATGGACCTCTTAAACAAGTGAAAGAAATCAGTCAGAAAAGGTCATATGTTGTATGGTTCCATTTATATGAAATATTCACACAGGCAGGGAAAACCAAATACCACATGTTCTCAGAGCTAAAAATGAGAACTCATGAACACGAAGGGAACAACAACAGACACTGTCGAGGGTGTTCATGAACCACTTCTAAGGTGGAATATGTAACTGGAGGCTAGCAATAATCATTTTCATGCCAGGCGCCGCAGCTCATGCCTGTAATTCCAGCATTTTGGGAGGCCGCGGCGGGTGGATCATGAGACCAGGAGTTTGAGACCAGCCTGGCCAACATGGCAAAAACCTGTCTCTACTAAAAAATACAAAAATTAGCTGGGTGTGGTGGTGCACGCTTGTAATCCCAGCTACTCAGGAGGCTGAGGCAGGAGAATCACTTGAACCTGGAAGGTGGAGGTTGCAGTGAGCCAAGGTCGCACCACTGCGTCCAGCCTGGGTGACAGAGTGAGACTCCATCAAAAAAAAAAAAAAAAACCACTTGTCACAAAGCTAAAGTAATCAAAACAGTGTGGTCCTTTCATAGGATAGAAACATAGAGAAGTGGAATAGAATGAGAGTCCAGAAGTAAACCCACACACTGCACTCAAGGATGACAGAGCAAGACTGTCAAAAAGTCATTTTCATATTTTTAGAAATTATATCAGGAAAAATAGTATGGTCATTGTGTTTGTGAAACCTAAGGAATACGTAACTGCGACAGTCACTTTACACGATTTCAAACTTGAGAACTTTCAGACTTAATCGTATCTAGCTTCTCTCTATAACTCATGCTTGGCTTATTAATCTACCTACTTTTCTTGGAACTATTCGTGTTTTCAGCCTATTATTATCCATTAACAAGTTTCTTACTCTGTAAAGTCTTCCTGCTTAAACAGCTTCAAGAGAGTTTCTTAATATTAGGATTACAAGGTCCGAGATTCAATACCTGACTCTGCAGTAAACCCTCTCTGCACCCTTAAAGGTGCAGTGCAGTGGAGTGGTTAGAGCCCAGGCTCTGCAGCAGACTGCCTAGGTTGGAGTTCCTGCCCTACCAATGATTAGATTTGTGTGACTTTAGGCTCTGTGTCTCGTTTTCCTCATTTGTAAATTGCATGTAATAGCAGCTACTCAGAGTTGAGGGAATTAATTGAGTGAATACAGTATATGTATATCCCACTTAGAACAGTGATTGGCACACAGGAATGCAATCCAACATTGTTACGATTATTGCTACCTTGTGACTACCTTTCCTGATTTTATTTGTCTTAATTTTATTCAGATAGAAGTAGCTCCAATCTTCACCCAGTTTTTCATTCCAACCTCCTCACACCACCTTCACAGTGACTGTTAACTCTTTTCCTAACCCAGTAACTTTCTTGAGGGTCACAGTTGAAGCACATAGTACTAAAGATAGGCATACCATTATATTTCTTGGTTTCTCAAGCTCACCAGACTAATATTTTTAAGGAATGTCAGTGCTCCTGGGTTCACTTTAGTCGTGATTGTCATTTATAAATATTAGATTAGTGCCAAAGTAATCACTGTTTTTGCCATTACGTTCAATGGCGCAAAAACCGCAATTACTTTTGCACCAATCTAATAGTATTAAGATATTTCCCCTAAATTATACTACCTATACTTGGCCACACCATGGTTCACCTCATGCTGATACTCATACACTTCTCTGATTTTGAAACCCTTCTGCAGTCTGATTCTTGTCAGTTTGGTATTTGACCACCTGAAAAAGCTTAATATCAACAGACTTGGAGAGGCCGCTGTGCATGTCTCCTACTGTTTCCAGTCCTCCACACTGAAAAATATCTATCCATACCACTGTGATATACGGTGGCTGGGGGGCTGCCGAAGAGAGTGCAGCCTCGAAATAACACAGTCCTAGGTTTCAATCCTGGTTTTGTATCTAAACAGCTGTGTGGCCTTGAGTAAATTACCTGAACTTGTTCAGTCTCAGCTTCCTCATCAGTGAGAGGCATGTAATGATGATATTCTTGCAAAGTTGTTGTAAGGAATATATATACACAAACGCTCCTCAACTTACAGTGGGGTTACATTATGACATACCCATCCTAAATGGAAAATATCATCAATTGAAAATGCATTTAACACACCTAACTTACCTGACATCGTAGCTTAGCCTAGCCTACCTCAAATGTGCTCAGAACACTTACATTAGCCTACAGTTGGGC